AATTCAACGGATTTTCTCTCATTTTACATGAAAACAGACATTTAGAGCAAATCGTTTTTCCTTTTTGACACATTTTTCTGTTACTGATGCAACCCTCAGGCTGCAGAACCTGCAGGAGGACAGTGACAACGGCCCAGACAGTAAGAGTCCAGAACCACCGAACAAGGACGAAACCCAAGAGTCTAAAGAGAAAACTGATGATCAGTAAGTAGAGCCTCAGAAACACGAAGGCTCCAGCTTGTAGTGTAGACCTCATCAGCTCGCTGTCTGCTACCAGCTGCACCAGAACCTTCTGCTACCAGCTGCACCAGAACCTTCTGCTGCCAGTGGAGAGAGAACAGCTGAACTGTTGTCTGCTAGCTTACAGAGTTAACTTTACTGTGCAGCTTTCAGGTTTTTTAAAGCTTTGCTGCTTTTTTCAGTCTCACATAATTAAATTTGACTTTTTCTTTGTGAATCAGGACAGAAATCCAAAGGTTGGTTTGAATTCATCACATTTGAGGAAATTGATGCTGAACGTTTCAGCTGGTTTCAGACAGGTGTTTTTCAGGGTTCAGGGTAGAAAACATGAAAACGATGTGAAAAAAATAAAGTGCTGCAACATGTTTCTACTACAGGAAGCTAACTCTGAGCAACAACAGCTCTGCAGACCAGCTCACATCGATGTCAATAAAATTCATTTTTACAAATCTGAAAATTGTTTTTGAACTGGAACTGTGTTATAATGAGAATAATCTTTGGATATTTATGAAGATGGTTTTGTATTTTCCTAAAATTAGCGGTTTCTTACCTGCAGCAGGAGGTTCCTGCTTCCTGATCATTCAGAAGAAAATCAGAAGAGTTCTGCTTCTTTTTTGTTTTTATTTATTTCTCATCTTTTCTTTCTCTTCACCAGGAGTCTGGTCGACATCGGCCCACCTGAAGACAAGACGGAGCATGGTCCAGAGAGAGCAGGACCTTTAACTCCGCCCACTTTATGTGAGTCAGCAGAGCGAGGCAGTCCTTCTTCGACTGATGCAGAACCAGGATCAGAGAGGAGGGACCTGGAGAGTCCTGTTACCCATCAGCCAAAACCACAACCTGCAGCGGACCCATGTACCACCACAGAGCAGGTGAAACACCAGGAACAGAATCCTGTACTCTGATTGGCTGAGGGTTATCCTGTACTCTGATTGGCTGAGGGCTATCCTGTACTCTGATTGGCTGGGGATTATCCTGTACTCTGATTGGCTAGGGGCTATCCTGTACTCTGATTGGCTGGGGGTTATCCTGTACTCTGATTGGCTGAGGGTTATCCAGTACTCTGATTGGCTGGTTGTTATCCTGTACTCTGATTGGCTGGTTGTTATCCTGCACTCTGATTGGCTGAGGTAATCCTGCACTCTGATTGGCTGGTTGTTATCCTCTACTCTGATTGGCTGGTTGTTATCCTGTACTCTGATTGGCTGGTTGTTATCCGGTACTCTGATTGGCTGGGGATTATTCTGTACTCTGATTGGCTGGTTGTTATCCTGTACTCTGATTGGCTGGGGATTATTCTGTACTCTGATTGGCTGGTTGTTATCCTGTATTCTGATTGGCTGGGGATTATTCTGTACTCTGATTGGCTGGTTGTTATCCTGTATTCTGATTGGCTGGGTTCATCCTGCACTCTGATTGGCTAAGGGTAATCCTGTACTCTGATTGGCTGGGGGTTATTCTGTACTCTGATTGGCTGGGGGTTTATTCTGTACTCTGACTGACACTTTTTATCTGATGTGCTTAAACACTAAACTTAAAAGTCAGTTATTTTGTTGTTTAAATATTTGTTTTTTAAACATTTCTTATGATTTTGTGCTTTTCTCAGCCTGCAGCAGAAGAAGCTGGATGTGGAGGTGAGAGCTGAGAGATACAAAGCAATAAGTTTCAGTCATGTGTTTTCAGTGGAGTTTTGTAAAATGAAGTTGTCGACTTGAAGCTTGAATTGTTAAAGTGTAAACCCTGAAGTTGATGAATAAATCATTGTGAATTCACTGATGTTTTTATGTCCAGTTACCATCATCTGTGCTCCAATAAAGAGCTTCCTGCTTCGATTCCCGCTTGCTGCTGATTGTCTGGAGAGCTGCAGGAAACTGGTGCACAAGCTCCGCCCTGCCACGCCCCCCACGCTGACCATGCCCACCTTGACCCCCGAGCTGGCCCGGCTGACCCAGCGGGTCTCGCAGCTCCGCCAGCAGGCACTGCAGCACTGCAGGAGCGTCTGCAGCCGCTTCCAACGCCTCGGCTCCCAGCAGCAGCCTTAACTCAGCCGCTCGTAGTGACGCTTATAGAAACCTGATGCAGTCCAGCTCCTCAGCTTCAACGTGCCAAAAACCCAGAAACAGAACCTCCAGAACTTCACCGCGCTCTGCGGGCTTCGCTGCTTCGCTTTGTTCAGTCTGTCTGCTGTTGATTTATGGAAAATCAGGAACTGTTGATCGCATTTATTTATCAGTTCAAAACACTGATTTAAATGTCTCAATAAGCTTCATTTTCCTCTGGTTTATGACTCAGTTCATCACACTTTTTCAAAAATGTGCATCAGAACATTAAATGCATGTTTCTCTGTGGATTTTAAGTCAAATTCAGAATTCATACCAACAGTTTTCATTGCGAGTAAATTTTTAACATGATTAAAATGTTTCTTTTGCTGAAACAATGAAAGAAAATAACAGAAGTTGTGCTGACATAATCGACAACTTAAAATAAAGAATAGATTTAATAAATCCAGCAAAACTAAAGAACCATTTTATTTGAACACACAGCCTTTAGTCTCTGCGTCACTCACAGCCAGCCTGACTTTGTTCTTTAGTTAAGTCAATAAAAAACATTAAAAAAAATTCAAGTTTGACTGAAAGTAAATGTGATTTTAGCTCCAACCAGGGTATCTCAAAGATAACACATTAAAACACTTGAATCAAATAATATTATTTTTGGAGCATGTCATGGCAAGATATTTAGTAAATGTGAATTTTTTTTGTTTGTTTTTTGTTTTGGTATGGAAAGATGGAGGTAAAGAACATCAGTAGCTGCGTTTCCATTGACCATGAAAATGCGCAAATTAGAATTTCGAAAATAAATTTGCTCAATGGAAACATGTCATTTTCGAAAAAAAAATATGTTTTTCGACAAAAAGTTTTTGCGCTAGGATGAGGTGGTTTTTCAGCCATATCGAAATTGGTGTTTTTCACATCGCAGGAGTCACGTGATCAACAACCGTCTGTTTCTACTGGTGAAAAAGACGATGATGAAGAAGATAACAGGAAGTAGAAGTAGTAGTAATATCACAGAAGTAGTATAAAATAGTAAACTCAGCGACTACAGTTTCCCAAAAACACAGCATACGTAGCCGCTCCCAAGTAGGGACTTGTCTCTGGAAAGCCTCGATAAAAGACGCCGACGTCTCCTCTGATGATGAGCGCTAGTGTCGTGGTAGCAACATGCTATGTGTTTACATCCATCGCTGCCATGTTTGTAATGACTTATCATGAGAACAAACGTATTCACGTGACTTTAATAACATTTCTTACTTAATGGAAACACTGCAGTTGTGAAACTGTTTTTTGACATTAACAGAATATCGACAAAGTTTTACGCACATTTGCAATGGAAACGTAACTATTTACTGTGTTGATGGAGCAGGTGGAGTAGGTGTTGAGGATGACTCTCAGCTACTACCACATCAAATTTTAGCTCAACGTTTGTTAAACCGACTGAGACGTAGCCCTTTTTCTGTTGATGTGGCAGCCATCTTGAATTGACTCCAGAAGTGAAGTATCTGTCGATGTTTATTTGATCGTTGTTTTCTGGGAGTTTGATTAAAATTTGTTCACTGATTCCTGTCCTCCATTTTTTAAAATCATGTTTTTCCATCAAGATGGAGCAACAAAACTATAACAGCTGCAGCTCCTGTTTGTTGGGTTTCACATAAACAGCATAGCAGCAGCTAGCATAAATAACTGACTCTGGTCTTTTTTCATATTTAATGCTGTTATTAAGCTATCAAAGCTCACAAAAGTCGTCTTTTTTATTAAAAAGAAAAGTAACAACCTGCAGAAGCTGAAAGTGATCAAGTTGTTTCTCAGTTCTGACAAGAGAAAAAAGATTTTAGCACAACACAACTCTTGTCGAGCTGAAGTTTTAGATCAAGTTATTTTAAAAAGTGAAAATAAGTGTTTAAGAGTCAATGATCTGATGAAGCATGGAGGAGGTAGCATCATTATGTGGTCCTGATCTGTGTCTTCAGTTGACAGAGGCACAAACTTTCTACAGAAATGTGTTGTCAGCAGAAAACTGAATGTAAAAGAAAAATTAATCAGCTCAGATGGACCAACCTGCAGACTGTTTGATGATGTTTATTACCCAGAAAATGTACATTTTTTTAAGTGAACAGCTTATTAAATCTGTCATTTGTTAATTGGTTGAAACATTTATTATATGTTGTGTTTTCTCTCAACATTTTTGTTTTTAGAAACTACAAATAAATTTTAAAGCTGCCATTCATCTAAACGTCACATTTTTCCTTCAGATGCCTCCATCTCCTTTTGGAGATAAACAAACTGCAGAACTACTGGGAACAAACTGGAAAAAAACCTGTTCTGTCCAAAAATGAAAATGTTGTTATTTCTACAGAAGAACTAAAAAAAACTGATTTGTATTTAAGAGGTAAAAGGGGAAATCTGTGGTGTCAGTTCAGCCCACAGAGGATTAACTGTGAGGAATCTTTTCTTTTGTCATTATGTTTATAGGTCATTAAAACAATACGTGAAATTCATCCGATGTTTTCTTTTACTAAAGTAAAATTGCATTTTTGACAACAGTAACTTGAACCAAGTTCAACCCACTTGAAAGGATAAGCATGATCATAATAATGATGTAATTAGTTTTATTTCCACTCCTGACATTTAAATATAACAATATAAGAACAAACGACATTTGGAGAAAGGTTTGCACCTGGATTCTGTCTGCAGGTCTGTGCCATAGGCAGTGTAGGCAAGTGTTAAGGGTCAAAAGCTCTTCAACTGGCTGGAAAAGGCAGTTTTGAGATCTTTTTATCCCCCTAGAACTGCTTCAGTCCACAGCTGCTGGTTTACATGAGCTGTTCCTCATGATGTCAGCAGATGTTGGCAAACTATTTAATTTGGCGTGAATGTTTGTAACCTGGCAGTGAGATTTAGAAAACTTCATGCGGGGCCTCACCTGAAATCTTGCCTATAGGACACCACATAGGCCAGGTCCAGTCCTTCCTGTGCGTCTGCCTCGGACACCTCAGACCTCCAGGTGTCCCACTGCGTCCACTCACAAGAACTTCAGTCCACGTTTAGTAAGAATCTGCAGTCTCAGCTCACTCACTTCCAACTGTTTCCTTTTGGTCTGCTTCTCAGAAAACTGCAGCAAAAGTTTGGATGAAGCTCTGAAGCTGAAGAACCCAGATCAAGAAGCAGCACACAAACCAAACCTGAACATCCCACAAATTATCACAACACCAGAACCAGAATCCGATGTACTGAGGATCTCAAAGTTCAGGTACCAGCCTGATGGGTCAGCTGTGAGTCTCAGAACAACACCTGGACACATGCTTGTTTGTGTCGTTGTTATATTTTGTCACAGTAGCCTTATAATCAGGACCCCAGGTGCAGAAGAGAATGATTAAGATAAAAAAGGCTGTAAAAAATACTTTTTTACAAAAACAAAAATGTTGGCGTGGCAGCAAAACAACTTAAAAAATCCAGGAAGGTGACAAGAGAACTACAATGAAACAAACAAAAAAGCTCTGACGCAGACAGAGGACAGAATATAAAGGGAAACTAACGAGCAAAAACAAGAAACACCTGGGAGAGAAACATGAGGAACAGGTGAGAGTGGGCGGGGCTGGAGCAAAGACAGGCAGGAGGAGGTAAACAGAAAAAAACAGGACACAAAACAAGAGTCACCAAAATAAAACACACACAAACACACGATGACAGACAGTGTACATTTATCAGTTCACAAAAAATATACATTAAATAGTTCAGATTTATGGAGAGCCCTTTCATTCAAAACACAATACATAAATAAA